ATCCACCTTTTAAGTAATTACATAATTTGGCAACTGTCTTAAATGATAAAAATAAACACATAAAGGAGTAGATGGAAGGAATACATTATTCAAAATTCCAATTCCAGGTACTGTTCTTTAGAACTGATCAGATTAACTTTTATCACAGCAGAATGCATGGTACATACAGTTAGTCTGAGATGTTACCACTGTAAACATTCATTTGGTGAAAAAGTATACGTCTATACAAAAAGAAAGAACACCCAGTTACAAGTACAACCCCTAAGAATACTAGTGTAGTATTTGGATCCATGGGATTTGGATCCAGAGCGCTGGGCTCCAATCCTGGTTTCACACAGCTGTATAACTGTGAGCACATTACTTCTTGGCATTTAACGTCTTCATATCCAAAATGTACCCACTTCATAATGGTGTTGTGTAAATGACTGACACATAATGATGGTGGTTTTGTGCCATGGAGTTGGTCCCAACTCACAGTGATTCTATATAGGGTTTCTGAGGCTGCAAATCTTTACACGAGCAGAAAGCCTCATCTTTTTCCCACAGAGCAATTGGCAGATTCAAACTGCTGACCTTGCAGTTAGTAGCCCAACTTGTAATCCACTACCCTACCAGGATTTCTTGGACTGACACACCGCACAAGCATAATCTACTGCAAAGTGTAATTTCTTGCTATCTGTAAATAGAAAGAAAACTTAAATAATGAATCATTAGATGTCTTTCTGTAGTACAGGACATGGATCTGTAATGTTTTGGACAGAAGCAGCTTCTTTACATTTCCTCAAAGTTTTGATATCACTGGATGTGACATATGGGGGTGGAGGGCAGTGTGTGGATCATTTTTGAGCAGGAGAGAGAGGATCACAGCAGCTGGTCCAGAAATCACGAAGTGAGTAAAGCCCTCGTGGTTGACTTTGGAATTCGTACCGAGCTCTCTATCCAGCATGTGAGATGCTGTCAACATTTGCTAAATGAATAGAAAGATGACTAAGACTCAGTATGGTTTTTAATATGTTTGTAATCCAGTGGAGCTCTTAAGGATAGAGTAGTAGGATCACTAGAGTCTATATAAACATGGTATTACCTATTTCATCATTCTGAAATCAGCTGTATACAGTATTTATTGTTAGACATTTTGGTAAAGGTGTGGTGAAACTGTTGTAGAGTTATAAAAATGACTGGCATTCATTTCTAAGGATGCTTTTTTTTAGTTTCCATCTTATTATTTTTGAGAATAAGAATTCTTTTAGAGTAGGATTTACATCATATAGCAGATAGCAGATTGCAGACTGTCAAGCTTGTCTATTAATATTTTACAAGATCTTGGTGGTTTTGTTGGGCTCAGTCCAAAAATTTTAGGAGGTGTCAAGAGCAGATTATTTTTAATACCTTTTAAAAAGTCAATTCTCAACTTAAAGACATACACACATAATTTCTACACACATTTCTACATGCATCACTGCATTCATAGTTGCATCCAGAAAATTTTAGATGACAATCAGATAGTGTTGAAAAGTCTAAAAGGAACCAACCCAAAGAGGCAATCAATCCCCGCAAGAACCACAAGTTTCTGTTTACATAAAGTAGCAAAACAAACTCCTGAAACTTGTGAACACTTAAAAAATGTCTTGCTTTTGCCAAAGTTGACAAAAACATAAGCTGAGGCTCTGTTAAAGAAAGGAGGGATATATTTTATGTTCTCCAAAAGTACGCCACCTACTTATGATATGTACTCATAGTCTGGATTCAGTTTTAGACAGCAATATACTTTAAACAGAAAAGTCAACTTATGGCAAAAGCCAGGAATCAGAATTGAAGAAAAAGACAACTCTGAACACTAAAAAGGAAAAGGTAAAAGATGTTAAATTCCTTAGGAAATCTCAGGTAGGAAAAAAAAAAAAACCTTAGAATTTACCTTATTTGAAAGTTTACCTGTCTTATTTTATTGTATTTTGTCCTTTCCTAATAACCATGCACATAAGTGAAAAGTAACTTGGACAATTGTTTTTTAATATCTAAAATATATATTCTTCTGTTAACATGAGGCAGCTAGAGATATCCTTTGAAAATAGTGCTTCTTAGCGCTTACCGTGAGTTAACTTGTGGCAAACCTATATAGGGTTTTCTATATAGTATTTAAATCAGAGATTAAATACTCTATCACTGTTTGAGGCCTACATTTCAAGCATATACCCTCCTTTCTGTGTTAAAGGCAAATAATTAAAGCCTCTATAGGAACATACATAAAGCACTGACATTCATAAACCACAAAGAACCCTGCACTATGTCAGGTAACTACAGCTTAGTTACCTGAGCTGTAGAATCAGAGAAGTAGGAAATTAAAGAAGAAAAGGTATAAAAATGATGACAGAAAATTCACTTGAAAAATTCACGCGAGATGGAGTGGACCATACCTTGAATAACTCAAACTCCTTCTTTGGCATCAACAGCTAACGACAAATAATGGAACATAAAATAAATGCATAATATATGTGAGCATGAGCTCAGGCAAAACCAAAGTACAGCAAACAGAATTTTCATTATCATTGCATTAAGTTATCAAGACATAAAAAACATACATTAATTCTTTATTTCAAATGTTTCCTTCAATCTTGAATTCTGATAAGGCCAACAGTCTCTCTGGATAAGTATAGGACCTACACAGGCATACCTTGCAGATATGGTGGGTTTGCCTCCAGACCACCACAATAAAGCAAGTCACAAGAATTTTTTGGTTTTCCAAAATTTCCCAGTACATATAAAAAGCTATGTTTACACCAAATTGTAGCCTATTAAATGTGCAACAGACTTATGTCTTAAAAATATATAATTTTAAATATTTTATTGCTAAAATATGCTAACCCTCATCTGAGCTCAGCAAGTCATAAATTTTTGGCCAGATCTTGCTTCAAAGTTGATGGCTGCTGACTAATAAAGGTGAGAAGGTGGAGGGTGTTGAAGGTTAGGGTGGCTCTGGCAATTTCTTAAAATAAGACAACAACAAAGTTTGACATTTCAGATTTATGAACTGGCCTGATTACAATATTGCTGTGTCTCAGGGAATGAGGAGACCCAAGGAGAGAGAAATACATTGAAATGGAGGAACAAACAATTGGTAGGTGAAGCAATCATAACACACACAACATTTATCAAGTAAGTTTACCATTTTATATAGATACAATTTGTAGCATCCAAAGCAATAACCATAGTAAAATCAAAGATCACTGATTAAAGATCATTTAATAGTAATAATAATAATAACAGAGAATAATAATGAAAAGTTTGAAATGGTACAAGAATTACCAAAATGTGACACAGGGACACAGATAATAGTAATAATAATAATAAAACAGATAATAATAATGAAAAGTTTAAAATGGTACAAGAATTACCAAAATGTGACACAGGGACACAGATAATAGTAATAATAATAATAAAACAGATAATAATAATGAAAAGTTTAAAATGGTACAAGAATTACCAAAATGTGACACAGGGACACAGATAATAGTAATAATAATAATAAAACAGATAATAATAATGAAAAGTTTAAAATGGTACAAGAATTACCAAAATGTGACACAGGGACACAGAATGAGTGAATGCTTTTAGAAAAAAAGGCACCAATAGGCTTGCTTAGGGCAGGGTTGCCACAAACCTTCCATCTGTAAAAAGCACTATCTACAAAGTACAACAAAGCACAGTGCAATAAAACGAGATGCGCCTATATTCGACTAGAACATCATGAGAAGTCAAAGTAGCTAAATGAACGTTAGTGGCAGAAGGATTTTGGCCACATTTTGAGATTTGAACAATCTAATTGTTTATTAAGCATAGAGCTGACATGAAAATGAACTGTTTCACTTCATATTCTATGTAATGTCTAATCAAATTCATGACATTATTGTAGGGTCAAATATGATCTTTCACTCCAGACTCTAAAGGTTAATTACTGCTGTTAACATGGGGAAAAAGCCATGCTACACTCTGTAGGATAAGCACTGGACTGCTAACCACAAGGCTGACAGTTCAAATCCACCAGCTATTTCCTGGAAACCCTATACAGGGTTGCTATGAGTCAGAACTGACTCGCTGGCACTTAATAACAACAAGAATTTCAGAGGCCAAACATAGGAAATTCCATCCATTTTGTCTCTGTAGGTAGATCTGACTCTAGCAATCCTGTCATAGGTCAAAAGTCTCAACAATTTAACAAGTGAATTCAGATGATATGATGAATGAGTTGATCAGGATTAGCAAAATCCTGAAAATGTGGCATGAGCTTTAATGACCAAGAAGAGAGATCCCCACCTACCTAATCTATGCCCAAGTACTTCATAACATTAAGATCAAGAGATTAAAAAATAGTATAATCAAACTAAATAAACACATTGTAAGGAAAGTTGAGGGCACTTTCAATGTTGGTCAGTACTATATCATCTAAGAGATTCTGAGGACAAGGGCTGGTGAGTACAGAGTACTGAGCCGTCTAATATGCGCTATATCAAGAGGAAACTATTAGTGGGTTATGAGAGGGCTATGCATAGGAATGAGGAGGCAGAAATACTACGTCTTCAAACATCAAAAATACTGTAGGTTTAAAAGGCAGTATTCAAAGGAGCACACTTACTGCTAAACATTTTGATCAAATATGTAAAAAAAAGTAAATCAGAAAACATGTGTAATTCTTGCCTACATCTCTCACCATTATCCTCAATTATCTAAAAATTTATAGCCAATTAAATCTTAAAATGAGCAATAATCAAAAGGCATTTGAGTTCTCTGAAAGGTTGTTGTTGTTGTTGCTGTTAGGTACCATCGAGTTGGTACTGATTCAGAGTGACCCTGTGCACAACAGAACGATACACTGCCTGGTCCTGGGCCAACCTCACATTTGTTACCACACTTGAGCCCACTGATGCTGCCACTTTGTCAATTCATCTCTCCGTAGATACCTGAAATTTGTTAAAAATTAAATTTTGCTAAGAAATCAAGATTACCTGTATGGTATGTGTGTAAGGTGGATCAGCACGTCCTAATGCAGACTCTGGAGGTCTCACAATATCCAAAATGTTATTTGGCACAAATCCACAATCTCCTCTTGCATTTCGAACTCTCCACCATTGTTTCCTGTCATCAAGGATCTGTTATGGTAGAAGAAAATGAATGTTAACTAAGATGAAATTTCAATTGTATTCTTCAATTTTTCTTCCTAGAAATCAACCACAAAATAGTTTTCACTTCTAATTTATCGATGGCAAATTGACTTTGCATCAACACATTGTGAAGTGAAAGACTCTTGGAAATTACACTAGTAGTTATAACTGCTAGCATGGAATAGCCACCACTCCTCTGTCAGTTTGTCGTACTGTGGTAGCTTGTGTGTTGCTGTGATTCTTCAAGCTATGCCATGGGTCTTTTAAATACCAGCAGGGTCACCCATGGTGAACAAGTTTCAATTGAGCTTCCAGACTAAGACATAATAGGAAGAAGGACAGTCAGACGACTTTTGAATATTTAGTCACTGAAAGCCTTATGAAAAACAGTGGAACACTGTCAGCATCAGAATACTGACTGCTGAAACATGATGAAGAAAACCAAAATATCGTCAGATAGAGTGCTAGAAGATGAGCCTCTCAGGTTGGAAGGTACTCAAAATACAATAGGGTAAGAGCTGCCTCCTCAAAGTAGAGCTGACAGTGATAATGTAAATGGAGTAAAGCCTTTGGGACCTTCATTTGCTGATGAGGCATGACTCAAAATTAAGAGAAACAGCTGTAAACATCCATCAATAATGGGAATATGGAATGTATAAAATATGAATCTAGGAAAATAGAAAACTGTACAAAATTAAATGGAATGCATAAACATCGATATTCTAGGCATTAGTCAGCTGAAATAGACTGGTATTGACCATTCTGAATCTCACAACCACAAAACTAGGAATGACAAATGGAAGAGGAATGGCATCACATTCATCATTAAAAAGAACATATCAAGATCTGTCTTGAAGTACAAAACTGTCTGTGATAGGATAATATCCATAAGGCTACAAGAAAGATCAGTTAATACCACACTATCATTCAAATCTATGCAGCAACCACTAAAGCTAATGATGATGAAATTGAAGAATTCTATCTACTTCTTCAGTGGAAAAGCTCCATATCATCAGCCAAAACAAGACTAGGGGCAGACTGTGGAGCAGACCATAAATTGTTTAAAAGAAATTTGAACTGCAACTACCTGGCCAACTGATTGAAAGAGATCCATCTTTATGCCCATTCTAAAGAGAGGTGAATGCAGAAATTATTTGACAATATCATTAATATCACATGAAAGTAAAATTTTTCTAAAGACAGTTCAAAAACAGCTACAACCATACACTGACAGAGAACTTCCAGAGGTTCAAGTTGAATTTGGAAGAGGACATGGAAAAAAGAATATCGCTGCTGACGTCAGATGGATCTTGGCTGAAAGCAGAGAATATCAAAAAGTTGTTTACCTGTACTTTATTGAATATGCAAAAGCTTTTGATTGCATAGATCATGACAAGCTATGGGCAACATTGCAGAGAATGAGGATTCAGAAACAATTCATTGTGCTCATGAGGAACCTGCACATAGACCAAGAGGTAGTTGTTTGAACAGAACAAGGGAATACCAAATGGTTTAAATTTAGGAAAGATGTGCACCATGGTTGTATTTCTTCATCATATTTATCCAATCTGTAGGTTGAGGAAATAATCCCAGAAGCTGGATTATATGAAGAAAAACATGGCATCAGATTGGAGGAAGACTCTTTAAAAACTTGTGATATAAAGACGACACAACCTTGCCTGCCGAAAGCTAAGAGGACTTACTGATAAGATCAAAGTCTGCATCTCAATGTAAACACAACAAAAATTCTCACTACTGGACCAATAAATAACATCACGATAAATGAGTAAAAAATAACATCACGATAAATGAAGTTGTCAAAGACTTCATTCTGCTTAGATCAGCCATCAACACTCCTGAAAGCAGCAGTCAAGAAATCAAACAGCATATTGCATTAGGCAAATCTGCTGCTGTACAAGGCCTCCTTGAAGTGTTGTAAAGCAAAGACGTCAATTTGAGGACTAAGGTATGCCTGACTCCAGACATGGTATTTTCAATAACCTCATATGCATGTGAAAGTTGGACAGTGAATAAGGAAGACCACAGAAGAATTCAGGCATATGAGTTATGGTGTTGGAGGGAATAATAAAAGTACTATGTGGGCTGCCAAAAGAACAAACCAATTTGTGTTGGAAGAAGAACAGCTAGAATGCCCCCTGGAAGCCAGGATGGCCAAGCTTCCTCTCTCATACTTTGGACATACTGTCAGAAAGGACCAGTCCACTGGAGAAGGGCATCATGCTTGATAAAGTGAAGGGTCAGAGAAAGAAAGACCCCCAACGAGAGGGATTAGCACAGTGGCGGCAGCAATAGGCTCAAATGTAGCAATGATTGTGAGCTTAGTGCAGAACTGAGCAGTGTTTCATTCTGTTGTGCATATGGTCACTATGAGTTGGTATTGACTCAATGGCGCTTAACAACAAAAAACAGAGAATACCCAAGATCTGTATCACCTTCCAAGACTATAATTATTTGTATTATCTGAAGTATTTGAAATGACTAATTCTTTTGGGAAGTTATATTTTCTACATTTTGGGGATAGAAAGGAAAAGTATGAAGGTCATCTTTGTTTTGGAGTGCTGGTGTGGCACTGTAGGATAAGCACTGGACTGCTAACTGCAAGGTCATTGGTTCATACCCACCAGGTACTCCTTAGAAACCCTATACAGGGTTGCTACAAGTCAGAACTAACTCAACAGTATTTAACAATAATAATGTTGACCATCCCACCATATATGTTTAAGAAAATGAACCCTCAGTTATAACTTAGGAAAGAGATTTGGACATCATGATAGACTATTCCCAAAACCATTAGCTGATTGGCTGTTAGAAACACTGAAGCACAGATATGAGGACAGACAGAAGGAAATATTGTTATTCTATTAAAATGTTATGGTGCATCTATATATGAAGTGATACTCAGCCATGATTCCAAAACGAATAAAGTTTAGAGGAAAGAAAAGGGCACACAGTGAATAGGTACTTTTACTGAACATCAAAAGAAGTCATGAAATCCAACCCAAATAACACACACAAAATAAATTAAATAAAGCAGCTGCCCCTCCCAGATAGATAAAAGCATCTATAATATAATATATCTTTGATAATATCTAAAAAATGGAGAATAATTTCTCAACCTCTGAATATCTTTGTGGAATACATATAAACCACAAGAGGCGATAATAAATCCATTTTGTTAAGAGTATTTTAAAAAGGTAAAATTCTATTACCTCTAAAATATCATCCCTTTGAACTGATAGTTCACTGGTGTTCCTTGCTGTAAATTCATACTTGGATTTGGCATATTTCTTGAGTGGTGTTTTGAGTGGGTCATAACTTCTATGAAAAGAAAGAAGAAAAAAATCATTCTGTAAGGAGCTTCTAAAGGCTAGAAACAAAAGTAAAACATTGAGGCAAGCCAAATTCTACCAGAAAAAAAATCTGACAAATTATTCAGATAGTAGGCTAGTTTCATCATATTTTACAGAATATGAGAAATAAAAGAACTTTCAAGTTTTTAGTATTAATAAATGAGCAATCTACGGATAGGATAAAAATAAATGTAATGGCATGAGGCTATTTGGCATTGAGTCAAATCTAGCATCCAGTTCTATGAATGTTTTGTCCATTAAATACACATAATGAATAATGCTTTGTTAATTAGCATATCTACCGGAAAAGATTTAGAATGAAGGTAATACATGCTTGTTAGCATTGTTTCCTAAAAGTAAAAGAGATTTAAGAATTTTCAGAGTGCACATTTACTTTCTACATCAAGCTTATTAGTCAAATGTTTCTAATTCTCTCACCAACTACACATTAAAAAATTATGACTAAGCATCAATTATCAGGAAAGCATGGTCTAGTTATCTGTATTACAAATAATATATAGATTAAGTACTAGCATATACCATAATATATAGTATCGTTTTCTCTGTTACGGTCAATGTTGTTGTTGTTTAGTGCCGCTGAGTCAGTTCTGACTCATAGAGACCCTGTATAGAATTTCCAAGGGGTGGATAGTGAACTTGAACTGCCAACACTGTGGTTCAAACCGACCTTTCGGTCCAGTGCATTATCCCACCAGGACTCCAAATAAAGAATTAAATTCAGCACAAAGTAAATTTCAATTTTAAAATAGGTATGAATTCTCACTTTTTTTTTTTGTTTTCAAAAAAACAAGTTATTTCATCTACTCATTAAATTTTTTGAAATTGCATTAACTAGATTATAACTCACAGTGACCAGATGTCCTAACAGTTGAACATTGACCATTTTTGGTACAGTGACTCTGTGTATTTCTTCTATCTTCTTTTGATGCTTTCTGCATCATTCAATATTTTGCTCATAGAATCCTTCAATATTTCAAATCGAGGCTTGAATTTTTCCTCCGTTCTTTCAGCTTTAGAAATGCTGAGTGTGTTTTCCCTCTTGGTGTTTTAACTCCAGATCTTTATACTTCATTATAATATTTGACTCTATCTTCTCAAGCTGAACTTTGAAATTTTCTGTTCAAGCCTTTTATCTCTTCAATTCTTCCATTTGCACTAGCATTTCTTTCCTGAGAGCAAATTTCAGAGTCTCTTCTGACATCCATTTTGGTCTTTTCTTTCATTCTTGCCTTTTTAGTAATCTTTTATTTTCTTCCTGTATGTTCTTAACATCATCCCACAACTCTTATCTTTGGTCTTTAGTGTCTATTGCATCAAATATGTTCTTCAGATGATCTCTAAATTCAAGTGATATGTTCAAGGTCGTATTTCGGCTCTTGTGGACTTGTTTTCATTTTCTTCATCTTCAGCCTGAACTTGCATAGGAGCAATTGATGGTCTGTTCCACAGTCTGCCTCTGGCCTTGTTTTGGCTGATGATATGGAGCTTCTCCACTGTCTCTTTTCACAGATGTAGTCAATTTGATTTCTGTGTATTCCACCTGGTAAGGGCCATAAGTATAGTTGTCTTTTATGTTGTTTGAAAAAGATATTTGCAATGAAGAAGTCAGTGGTCTTGCAAAATTCTGGCATGTGATTTCCAGCATTCTCTCAACAAGGCCATATTTTCCAACTTTTGATCCCTCCTCTTTGTTTTCAATATTTGCATTCCAATCACCAGTAATGATCAATACATCTTGATTGCATGTTTGATCACTTTCAGACTGAAGAAGTTGATAGAATTCTTCAATGTCATCATCACTGGCCTTAATGGTTTTGCATAAATTTGAACTGTAGTGGTATTTGCCTGTCTTCCTTGTAAGCATAAGGATACTATCCTATCACAGACAGCATTCTACTTTAAAGTAGATCTTAAAATGTTCTTTTAGATGATGTATATGACACCATTCCTCTTCAATTTGTCATTCATGCAACAGTAAATCATATGACTGTTAGATTCAACATGATTAATACTAGTCCATTTCAGCTAAAGAATAGGATATTGATCTTTATGTGTTTTATTTCATTTTTGACAACTTACAGTTTTTCTAGAATCATACTTTCACATTCCATTTTCTGATTATTAATGGATGTTTACAGCTGTTCTCGTCATTTTGAGCTGTGTCCCATCAGCAAATGAAAATTCCAAAAGCATTACTCCATTCGCATCATTATGGTCAACTCTATTTTTAAGAGGCAGCTCTTCTCCGGTTGTATTTTGAGTGCCTTCCAGACTGAGTGGCTCATTTTCCAACATTATACCAGATAATATTCTGGTGTTATTCATAATACTTAAATATTCAATAATCTGATGCTAGCAATGTTCCACTGCTATTCCTAAGGTTTTCAGTGGCTAAACATTCAGATGGAGTCCTTGTGTAGTGTTGTGGGTTAATGTGTTGAATGGCAAAGCCGGTTGATCCACAAGGTCAGCAATTCAAGTTCACCAGCCACTCTCCACAAACCCAACACAGGGTCGTTATGGGTCGGAACTTACTTGACGGCATTGAATAACAAAACAAACATTCAGAAGTAGTCTGCCTATACATCTTCCTAGTATGTCTTAGTCTGGAAGCCCAGCAGAAACTTGTCTACCATTGGTGACCTTGCTGATATTTAAAATATCAGGTGCATATCTTCCAGAATCACAGCAACACACAAGTCACCACAGTATGGCAAACTGACAGACGAGTGGTGGGAGGTTAATTATTAAATAACCATTAATGTTCTGTGATGCTGTAGGATAATGCACTGGACTGCAATGTTGGTTTGAACCACAAGGTCTGCATCAAACTCACCAGCTGCTCCTTGGAAATCCTACACAGGATAGCTATGGGTCAGAACCGACTTGACAGCACTTAACAACAACAACAACAAATGTGCTTAACAAGATATATATAGTTTTAATTAACTTAAAACTCCTGATACATTAATACTTTATTAATATTTTCTTCATACCTATGAAAAATAAAATAGCTACTTTTTATTACTTTACTCCATCTCTTCCACGTACATTCCCATTTTCTCAGACATCTTTTTAAGAGAAAAGGCAGGAGGGGTGTTTACCCATCCTATTGCTCTTTTTTGTTTTATTTGGCTGCTCATCAAGGTTCTCTGGAATACTGAATCAGTGAAGGGCCTACAGGACAAATGTGGACACAACCTATCCTTCAACATAGTCAATTTGCAACCTGGTAGTTAGCAACTCCATAGAAGAACGAGAACAGGTACAAAAGAAGCTAAAAACAAATGATCTACACACTGTGCTACCTATTGGCTATTTTTAGTATAATAAAAGAGAATGGTAGAATAAAGTAAAATTATGGTCAAGTAATTATTATGTATTATTAACAAGAAAAAAATTTAAACTATCTGCCAGGGATTATCTACCCCTGTCCCTACCAAACAGCTCCCATTTTTATCTAGTTTACATATTAGCACTCTATTAGGATTTCATTAGGGGGATAAAAGATTTAATCACCTTAAAAGGCATAAAACAATTCAATTTATCATTTTTCTTGCTCCCATGTTCTTCTCCCCTTATGCTCTGGGGAATAATTACAACTAATCACGGAGATGCGTGGAAATGCATACTAAGAAAGGACAGCATAACTCCATCTCTCAGGGGATTTGAATCAGTGGATTGGGAATGGCTTCTAGCCTAATTTCCATTTCTTTACTGCCTTTTACTTTTGCAGAGGTGCCCTAGTGTTGCTGTGGATTAGACATTAGGCAGCAAACTGCAAGGTCAGTGGTTCAAACCCACCAGCTGCTCCATGGGTCAACGAGGAGTCTAACTGTTCCATTAAAAATGTACGTTCTCAGAAACCCTATATAAGGTGGTTATGAGTCAAAATCAACTTAATGGCAATAGATTTGTTTTTCTTTCATGCTCTTGGTCTCTACATACATCAAACATGCTGAGGCTTGGAAACAAGGCTGAAAATGTGAACTTAGTCTATTTCTTTTTCTTCTTTACAATCTAATTTTCTGTCTCTGCCTATGTTGAATTTGAAAGAAAAAAACATAAGAAATCAGACATAAAATTGAGATTTTAAATGAAAATATAGTAAGATTAAATGACAATAATGACAAGTAAGGAAATGATTCTGTTACAAAATTTAGTTTATATTTAGTTTAAACATTTCTAGCTAAAGGAACGTTTGTTTTTACAAGGTTAAGAGAAGGGGTAAGGGGTAAGATATTTTCTTTAAAAGTTACAGAGCTGGAATGATCCCTTGAGAACATCTGGTACAAACTAATGGAGAGCTTACAAACAATTCTTCTTTGCCTTTTATTCAGAAATTTTATCAGAGGTATCTTTAAAAAATGAAAAGTAATACAAAGGCAGACATCCTTTGTTCATTTGTTCATCAAAGCTAGTTCCACAAAGGAATGACTGAAACTTTATTTAAATAATTAACAGATGGAAAATTTAAACAAGTATTTGACAATGCAGACAGTGTCAATTCTGTTCCCACTAAAGCAAAGACAATTACACACATCTCTTCAAATGCTGCCCATTAAATGTTACCTATCCATAGGACGATTTGGAGTTGGCTTAATAGCAAAAGCAGCTTCTCCTTGGTCCAGATGGGGCCCTCTTGCATAAACGTTATTAGCTGCATATCCATCAGTTGGAGAATACTCTGATACGCTGGATTGCTAAAACACAAAGGGGTAGAGATTAAAGAATCACCAAATGCCATTTGAATACTTACGTCAGTCAACAAACAACCCTCCACTATACTGTGATCACAATTTTCACTTTCAAGTGACTTATCATTGTGCTAATAAAGTATTAGCAAGGACCTCCTTATTATAAGAAAAGCCATTAGTGCAAAACTGAACCTTCATTCTGGAAATGACCACGTTTAAGCAATAAATGCCATCACTAGGAATTTTAGTAGCAGGTGATTTTGGTATCAGACAGTCTTGAACCCAAACTCCAAACCAAACACACAACCTTAGAGTGAATTCTGGCTCATAGTATCCCTATAGAACACAGCAGAACTGCTCCAGAGGATTTTCAAGGCTGTAAATCCTTAAGGAAGCAGACGGACTCTTCTTTCTCCAAGGAGTGGCTAGTCTTCAGGTTAACAGACTGATGTTTAACCCCCTGTACCACCAGGGCTCTTTACGTCTTGAACAGTTTGTATAAAATAAAATTGGCAAAAACCCTTAATAATCTTTGTTTTCTCTGTTTTAAGAAACAGAGCAAAGCAAATACTGTTGTATGAAAGACATCAGAACTCTATGCATTAAAATTACACTATACTCAGATTTTTCTTATTTTATATACCCTGAACACTGTTTTCAAGGATTAAAAATTGGCAGCATCCAGTAGCACATTAAAAAGATAATACATCATGATCAAGTGGGATTCATATCAGG